CTAGTGGGCATTCTGGCTACATTCCTGATACGAAAGAAACCAATAGTTCTTTGAGACCAAGGAGTTAATGTGAGCCAACAGGGGCCTCTCGACTGAAGTGACAATTTACATAATTCATAGAATCTTTCTCTGCCCCCAACACGTTAACAGTGTTCATAGGCTTATTCTAAATCTCACTGAAATTGCAAAACCAGAAACAAGAGCTGTTATTCTCTTAAAGCCCAGACAACACTGCATAGACAAAGCCGATTTTGCTCCTGCTTCCATATGCTCCTCATATAGCTCAACAGCCCCTTCATTTTGCATGAAGTCTTAGATCGTTCCTGTGATACAGTTCAACATAATCTGCCCTTCTGCATTTTCAATATCTGGGCTTCATTTTCGTTTCCATGTCTAGCCTTTAATTTACAACCTTCTCACGCTTGATCATTTTAATCGCCTCTGGTTGCCTAAGCTATTCTTGATTCAAACAGCACATTCCAGTCTAATTAAAGAGAATAGCTAATAATCAGTGCTTTAAACAATTAACAAGCCATTTTTATTAGTATCAAGTCAAAGGTAATTCAAAAACAGTTAATGTCCATTAAGATAAACAAGAACTTAAATTCTGAATTTAAGAAATAAACAATTCTTAAATTATAGGAAGAATTGATGGCTTAGCATGTGTTAAAAGTTCAGAAATAACAGAAGTAAAAGCAGTGAATCGCCAAAGTAGTAATTAGTAAAAAATTTATAGTGCGTGCACTAAAAAGGCAGCTGGCAAATCAGGAGCACTCAAACCAAACACGGAATGAGGCTCAGGGGTATTGTTATAAAGCGGCTTATACAGTGAGAAAGCAGGGACTTTATATTTTACAGTGATTGGTGATAATATGAGAATTTTCTTAAATGACAGGGAATTGGTCACTGAATACCTCATATCAACTTGGGGAAACAGTTTAAGTTTTGCTTGTGATTTCCAGAGGTGTAAGTGAGAAATGACTCAGGTCAAGTTAGTCTTTCAAAATAAGCTAAATTAAGCTTTGTCTACAGGACTACACTGGTTTTGTCTCCTCAGATAATTTTCAAAACTGGTCTCCACTTGTTTTTTATTTTAACACTATAACTGTTACTAACATTATGACCACTTACGGATTCATGAATGGCAGAAACCTTGAAAGTCATCTGGTTTTATACCATGGTATAGGAATTCCTCCCACAGTTTGCAAGTAGTCAACCAGTCTCTGCTTGAACACTTCTGGGGAGAGAGAACAAGTTCAGTGTGAAGTGGAGAAAAGGGAATGGGATCCAACACCAAACGCATCAAAGTCCTAATCTTTGCACTTGCAGTTACTTTGTGGTGAATAACAAAACCTCTGAAACTTCCCTTTTCCCATCAGTAAAATAGTTTGGTTGGGGCTGTGGGAAAAACTAAAGATCCCAATACACATGATTCTTACAAGGATCAAATGAGATAACCTCCCTTTCAGTTTTCAGGTACGCAAAGACCATAAGCCTCCAACTTCTGACCTCACATCTTCTAACCCCACTACTTAACTAAATTTTCCTTTCTCCAGTCTTGGTCTCTGTATATCTACCAACCAAGCTTTGTAGCAATGCTTCCCAAACTTCCATGTGGTAATACTCATAGAAACTGACAAGATATGTACAGTGTTGAGCTAAATGGCTGAGGTTGGTTAAAGCCAACAGGTTTTGAGGTCTCTCAGAGGGATCAGTGGGATTGAGCCCCCCTTGACCACTACAGCAACCTGCTTATCAAGTTTCCCATAATAACATTCCTTTCTTGTCAATATTACTTTCCCACTCCCTAATCATGCTTGCTAGGGTCACATCCCAAATAAACTACTTGCACCCAAACTCTTAGCACATTGTAGTAGATAATGAACACCAAAAAAACCCTGGTAAAATGGTAATAACCGTAATATCCAGGCAAAGTAAAGCTTTGTGTATCAAGTTCTCCTTCAAAGCATACATCAACCAATAAGGTAAAACCATGTCTTAATTAATAAAGGCAGTTGCTTAAATTCTTTTTCTTTTCTTTTTAAGTAGGCTCCACACCCAACGTGGGGCTTGAACTCATGACCCTGAGATCAAGAGTTGCGCACTCTACTGACTGAGACAGCCAGGCATCCCGGTTACTTGAATTCTATATTCACTTTGTGTGTGAAAGCACCGTATTCATTCTAACAGCATTTTCAGATTTATATCAAGACACCCTCTTTCACAGCTAAGAAACCAGACTGCAAAAAGTTTAATGACTTCCAAGATCATATCTTTATCAGTAAAAGTAAAAAATAGTTTAGATTTTTTGAGCTTTGACTATGTATGAGGCCCTGTGTTAAATACTTTGCCCCCTTTCACTAATCACTGCAACAGCTTTATATTATTTTAGAGGTTTTAATTATATATACTCCACAAATGCAGAAATTGAGGCTTAAAGAGATGGGTTCCAAGGGGTGCCTGGATGGCTCAGTCTGACTTCTGAGTCTGACTGAGAGTCTGACTTCGACTCAGGTCATGATCTTATGGCTCATGAGTTCAAGCCCCACATGGGGGCCTATGCTGACAGTTCAGAGCCTTCAGCCTGCTTTGGATTCTGTGTTTCTATCTCTCTCCACCCCTATGCTGCTCACTCTCTGTCTCTGTCTCTGTCTCTCTCTCAAAAATAAAAATAAACATTAAAAAAAATTAAAGAGATTGGCTCCAAACTGGCACCAATCAAAAATTAAAGAGAAGTGGGGCACCTGGGTGGCTCAGTCAGTTAAGTGTTGGACTCTTGGTTTTGGCTCAGGTCATGACCTCATAGTTCATAGGTTCGAGCCCCACATCAGGGAAATTCTCTCTCTCTGCCTCTCCCCCATGCACATGCACATGCATTCTCTCTTTCTCTCCCTTTCTCTCAAAATAAATACATAAAATTTTGAAAAGAAAAAACTAAAGACAAAGTTTTGAACTAGCAATGAAGAGGAGCTGTGGCAGAATAAACTGTTTTTATCCTACAAAATATTATTTTAGTAAAGGGTACATATACACCCAAACTGAAATGGAAGATCAGGGCAAATAACCAAATAACTCAACAGCAACAAATCATCCCTTTCCTTGGCAATTCATGAGGAATTTTTTTTTTAAGATTTTATTTTTAAGTAATCTCTACACCCAATGTGGGACTCAAAATTACAACCCCGAGATCAAGAGTTGCACGCTCCACCGACTGAGGCAGCCAGGTGCCCCATGAGGAACATTTTTTGGGTGAACTATCCATAAAGTTGAATCAAATCTCTGCTATTTATTGTATGCTTAAATAACTCTGGACTTCATCTTAAACAAATGGTCACTTTGCTCAGTCCCATCAGAAACTATGACTGCAAAAATTGTCAAGGTGATTGTTAGATTAGGTAGAACTAAAAATTCTGATATTTTTAGGGTCAACATTATTGGTGTTTTACTGAAATGAGTCCCTCATTATTGACTCTGTAGGCCTTCTGGGTTTGTTTTCTAGAGACAAAGATGGAATTTGCACCAAAAATCTAAATACGTAGGAATAGTCCTGAGCATATGGCCAAGTTTTTGTGTTGAGATGCTTGTCTGCCCACATGAAATTGCTACTGTCTTCCATGAAAACTTTGGTTCCTTGGTTTATTTATGTTGAATCATATTACAGCTATTTGATATTTAAAGCAAAATGGAAATTTTGATGCATTCCACTCAAAACCATGCAAACTGCAGATTTTGTTTTTGGGTGTCTCATCTGGTTAAGCTCTTTATAAGAGTCCTAAGCCTGAAAATTAGTTAGGTTTCTGACTGTTCCTTTTTTTATTCTCCTTTTATTATCATTTAAAAATCAAAATACGTGACTTCATTCTACTTTTGTAAGAGTGGGCAAGAAGCCCTTTCCTGTTCATGATGAGCTGACCATATTCTGACAGGACATTAAGGAAGAGTTGGACGACATCCTGGCAGGAGAAAATCAATTGGAAAAAAAAAAAAGTGTACTTGTATTCGGAAAATGAGTCAGTGTCTAGGAACCAATTACATTCAACACACAAAATTTGCTCCAAATGAACAAATTGAAAATGCTTCAAGAGAAGCTGCATAATGAATATATATCTGAAGTGGTCAGGCACAAAATGCTTCATAAAGAATCCTGTTTAATTACAATGGTATCAATTTCTGGAGCATCTCCAGAATAAATTAATAGATTTTCAAAAACTGAAATACATAAATCACTAAATGTATTCAAAACGTTCTCTGGAATTGTCGAAGTCTGCGTGCCTAAATGTGTTCTAGTAAGTGCCTGAGTGTCTACCCTAAACTAAAATCCTACAAAAAATTTTTCTGGAGAAGCAAAATTATAATGGCACAGGCCAACACACCAAACAAGCAACAGATACATCACAAGGCATTATGTTAACGAACTTGGGAAATATCATCAAAAAAAATCAAGATTTTTGCTCCTTTGTAGCCTGATAATTAACATCATAGTATCCCTTCCCTCCCCAAAGTAAAAGATGATGAAAGAATAGAAGAGGTTAACACACAGAAGCTGATGACCTTGAAAATGCTGCTAAGTGGCCTAAACACTTATTTGCCCAGATGGCTTAGTAAAGAGGCCAACTCAGGTCTTCACCAGAGATTAAGTTGCTTCCCATGGTCACCCAGGTCAAAGACAGAGCCAAGACTATTAAGATTGCAGGTGATGTTATTCACAATGGCATTTGAGAGCATTTACAACATTGTATAGCTTACAAATTGCTTTTGTAGACATTAATCAAGTTATCTTTACAACAATCCTATCAAGTAGGTGGGACATGCATTACTATTACTTTCCCAATGACAAAAGACATCAGAGTCCAAGTCTCCAGACTTGGATTTTTCTCTCCTCCACCTATTACTCAGTCTCTATCCTTAAAATCTACATCCTTAAAAGATTTTGAGTGTTTTAACCAGCCTAGATCACCCCTCACCGCATTAGTATCAGAAAGACTGCATCTGTTTACTGATTTATTCAATGATAAGAAGACAGGCTGGCTCTGTCATTACATCCTGTGAAATAATCGGTTGAGTATTTAAGAAGATGATGAGCACTCCAGAACCAATGAAAAAGAAAATCAATGTAACAAGTCAGGGGACAAAAATAAAGGCATATCACTCCCCTGTTGACAACCAGTTATGAGGTCAGAAAACTAGCAAATGAAACCCACGGCTTGGGCATCATCATAAATCTGCACTAAAGAGGGCTCTAGGCACCACACCACCCAACACTGCAGGAAACACTACAATATTTCCATAGCAACTGTAACTAAGGACATCATCAGGATGCTAAAAATGCAAAAGAAGAAAAAGAGGCATAAACTGGGGACAAACAAGATTGTTTCCCTAGCAGAGTGAAGCCCACTATTCACCCCCAGAAAACATAAATATTTCACCACCTGAAGCAGGCAGTAACTAGCCTTCAGCCAGCCAAAACCATCCTCCCAATTTATATTTTCCAAGAAAAGAAATCAGCCAAAGGGCCAAAAACACAAGGAACTCAGAAATACGTATACCAAGCAGGCAGCAGCATGCTTGAGTGTCATAGATTGGTCATGAGTCAGGAAAAGAGCCCAGTCATTTATTAAACTATCAAACCTGTTATGGCCAGGCAGGTACTATCAGGAACACAAAAGTGAACCAGAAATACATTCTGTCCAGTATGAGTGTTCAGGGTTGTAAGGGGAGATAAAAGATCAATTACTATAAAACAAACCAGAATATGATAGACATTAAAAAAAAAAAAAAAGAAATGAATGTTGCTATTAGAATTTAGATTATTGGAGGGTGTTATGGATTGAATTGTGTTCCCCAAAAAGATGTGTTGAAATCCTAGCCTCCAAGTACTTCAGAATGTAACCTTTTTTGAAAACAGGGTCTTTGCAAATATGATGAAGTTAAAGGAGGTCATAAGGGTGGGCCCTGATCCACTAGGCTGATGTCCTTTGAAGGGAGAAGAGCTTATAAAAACTGAGACAGACCAAGAAGGTGGCAATGAGGCGGCGGAAGCAGACTGCAGTGATGCAGACACAGGCTGCAAGGACAAAGGATTGCCGAGATCCACCAGAAGCTGCGAGAACCACTAGAAGCTGGGAGAACCACCAGAATCTGCAAAGGGCCTAGGAAGCATGCTTCCTTGGAGACTGCAAAATCGAGGCGGCTCTGCTGACGCCTGGATTTCAGAACCGTGAGAGAGAAGTTTCTGTT